TTAGAAAATATAATTCGATACACGACACGCGCCGAATTCGAATTTATCGAGGTATTGTCTTACGGTCAAAGCCAATATAATCATTTTCGAAAAAAAATGGGTTGGGTTTTGTGTGATGCTTTTTTTTTATTTTTTAGATAATATTTTAAGTTACAGTTTTAATCCTTGTAAAGATCGCAATAGCAAAAAAAAATCTAATCTATAATTTACTGGCCAATCCATTTTGTACTGCCTTTCGTACAAAACATTGCAAAATTTTGTTGGTTTAGATTCCATCGTGAGCGCGATGAGCCGACATTACCATCGGACGTGTTGCTGCCACTTCGTGATGACAAGCAGATGTCAGTAGACGACTACAGGAACAAGCTGTACAGCATCATGGCTAAAGGCTCCAATGGGTACAGCCACATGAGGAAGTCTCAGTCGAGGTGAGAATGTGGATTACGTTATAGATCTTAAATATTTTCAATTGTTGTCTTTATTACTAGAAGCATTTCGAAAAAATGTAATTGACCCAATAGTTTTTGTTTGGTTTAGGTTAGGTTAGTTTAACAAAAAAAACCTAATTTAGGGCCTATCCCACCACTGGCTGATAGAGGCTCACATAGTTTAAAAATGACGTAACTGTCAAATAAGGAAACAAAATCCGACATTTCCATCACTTTTTACACGTTGGATTGTTATCAGACAATTTAAAATTTGGTGGGAAAGGCACTTAATATTGTAATTTATGTTATGAACCCTTTGACAGCAAAACTCATACCGCCCAAACATCAGCGCACGCCAACACAAAGACCAGTAAAAGTTTCCACGAGCCTTCGGAAATTACTCGACCATACAAACCGAAACAGATAAGCGTCTCCGCAGACCAGAAGACCAGGCCAAAGATTATAAAAGGACCAGAAAGACCATTGAAAGAATATCGATCAGACCAGACAATTACCAAACCGGTTAGAGCTCCAAAACTAATGGAAAGCAGAAGTCATGATTGGGAAACTAATTGTCATGGTGACTATTTACCGATTAGAAAGAATCAAAATGATGGATATGTTTCTGGTGGTAAAAAGATAATGCAGCAAAGAAGAAATTCCACCTCCTTTTCTACTATTAGTATTGGAGGCGATGCTGACTATCTTGGTAGGAGCCTTAATCAAAGACATGGTGTTATAACCGCCAGTGCCTTAATAGACCTCCATACTAGTATACGATGAGATAGTATATGCTAATTTTGTGACCTTGAATCTCAAATACTAGGGTAGAGTGATTTTTCTATCGATTTTCGTGTATTTGAGTAGTTGTAAAAAATTGTAGCAAGTTTTTTTGTAATCACGCTTGATGTTTCTTTCATTATAATTTGTTTTTATAATGTTAGAAGTTAGGTTAAAGCCACAAAAAAATGGAATGTCACCCTCAAAAAAATTAGTTTTGACGTTAAGCCGCTCCCTACTATTATTTTTTTTTGTTTTTTTTTACTATAAATAACATCAACCTGTTAAATGTTGTAACTTTAACTGACTAGAATAATTATTTAGTGTTTTTTTAATTTCTTTTTTTTATTTGTTATTTACCCATCTCAATTTTAAAAATTAAAGGTTACAAAATATTATTATTAAAGACTTTTTTGTTGTACTTGTTAACGATTATGTGAATTAAGTTTTTTTGAACAAAATATTCGACTTGAAGTTTATTATTTGATCCATTTTTTGCATTAGTAAAATAGTACACGTTTAGCGTGTAGGTACAGGATGTGAGAAAAAGTTTTCTGTGTTATTTTTCTAGTCACAAAATAATATAGATCCATCTTACATCTGTATATTGTATTGTGTTTAAACATGTTGTGTTTTTAAAAGTAGATTTTTGAAATACTGTTACAATAAAATTGTAGAATGCTGGCACTAAACTAAAAATTATTGTAAACTAAACATCATTTTTCATCTCTGCTTATGAACTTTTTTAAACATACGATAATTATAAAATATACAAATAAATAATTACAGTATAATAAATTATGTACTTTTTGTACAAACATGTAGATAACATGCAAAAAATAATCGAAAAACACTGCCATAGGAGGATCAAAAACTGTTTTAAATACGACTGATTTTTTTTAGACAGAAAAAATGAAAACATAACAAAAACATAAATTATTATTTTTTTTAAAAGACTAACTAAAATAAGAATGAGTACAGCGCATGTTCCAAATTCTCAATATAAAATAAGGCTACCCCCGTTGGATAAAATTGCATGTATAACTTAGGTACTTTTAGTAATTAAACAAATACTGGGTATTTGGTTATAGTGTGTTTTATGAGATTTTGATATTTATAGTAATTTGTTATATCACAGATAGAACGAATTATCTTGCAATAATTCACGAAATTGTGTTTAGAAAGAATTATATGCTCAAGTAAATTTTTTTTTTCTTCAATAAAGCCTTTGTACAAAAATTAGATTAAATAGTTTTACACAATGGATCAGATAACAAGAGTTTGTAATATTTTCATTTTCTTTGAACACTTTTATAAAATGTACTTTATAATGCAAATAAAATGGTTGAAATAGATTATTTTGTTTTATTTATTTACTAGCTTTCGCCCGCGACCTCGTCCGCGTGTAATAAAAAATAATAGTGAGTAGCCTATGTGTTCTTCCAGACTAACCTCTACTTCTATGCCAAATTTCATCCAGATTCGTTCAGCCGTTTAGGCTACAAACTCCAACAAGCATCCATCCATCCATACAAATGTTTGCATTTATAACATTAGTATGAAATATGATTGTGTTTAATTTAATAGGTTGAATTTGTTTTTCTATATTTTCAGAAAAAAAAAATCTTTTTTCTATCATTTTTTCTAAACGAACAGGCTAATAAGACTCTTTTGCTACGAAAACAATAAAAAAATTGACATCTAGAAGATTAATCATCTGTCAGCAAACAAAACTTTAATAAAAGGAATGTAAAAAAATGAAAAAATGAATATAAAATACGCACTTGTACTTCTCTTTGTGTTTGTGAATGTACAGGTTTATTGTTTCAGTGTATCAAGCAAAAGTAATCTACCCTTACTATCTATAGATCCAAAAGCAAGAACGTTAATGAACCAAACAGACAATACGACGCGAAGGGTAAGATTTTTTTGTTTAGTCTTGTAAATAAATCTATACTTCTATACTAATATAATAAAGCGTAAATACACACTTCTTTGTTGCCTAAGATGTCAGCAATTACAGCATATTTTAGAATAACTCCTTTTTTTTAAATAAAAAGCCCTACACTTAAGTCACGCTTTAGACTATATATTTTCACGCCGATAAACTTAGGGGTAAACATTTTGGATAAAAACCCTAATGTGGAAAAGATTGACCATAGACAATAAGTTGCCATCATCAAGGAAGCAAGGTTGCCATGGTTTGACATCATGATGTCATTTTGAAATTTGAAATTGATGACAAATGTGAACAATAAAGTGATGTTTTAATAATTTTATGTGGATAAGGTTGCGTGGGAACAGCTAGTCTAGTTATAATTTAAAGTAAATTTTAACAATTTTCGGAATGATTCGTTATTGTAGTCTTAACTAAAAGTTCCGTACACAGAGGTAACACTCAATTGTACAGCAAGGAATAAGAACTGGATATGACGAAATAAATAGATACGTTTCTGTTTTATTACAGTACCTTCCGTTTATAATGCTGATCGAGCGTGAACAAGATACGAGTGAATATTGGCGGGAAACGGAAATCTTGACACTTGTCCGCCATGATGAGGAAGGCATAGACTATGAGAAGTGCGAGCAAAACGCGCCAGAAGACAGCGCTTTGCGTCTGCCAGCGAGGAGGACAGTCAGACCGATCTGCAGAACTGCTTATGGTTAGGACATTGGATTTTAAGAGAGAATAACAAAAGTTTAGTGTAAGACTGTAATATGGAGGTTATCTTTTATACCTGTACTTGTGTTTTATACGTTTTTAGTTAATTAATTATTATTTTCAGATTTTCAACTTTGTCCGCAATGCCCACGGTTCAGTAATCGCACGGAATGCGAGCTTTTTAAGGATTCTTGCAGGTAATACTTTAATTATGTCTTAAACTTCTTACAACATTTATACGGACACACTCAGTGTTCATTTAAGCTATGATAAGCAATCACTTAGTGTAGTTCTAACATTCTAAATCGATCAAAAGTCTGATTTTGCTATAAAATAGCCTTAACTTTCTTCTTTTATGCGTCCAATATTATAGGGATGACATATAGCGAATGTTACCATAATAATAAGCGGCTCCCTCTCCTAGACCTAGCCTAGATCTGGTGACGCCCTCGCCGAAGTAAGGTATTTAGGGCCTTTCCCAACACTAGCACAGATAGCTTAAAAATTACGTCACTGTCAGGTAAGGTAACAAAATCCGAAATTTCCATCAAATATTTTACACGTTGGATTGTTATTAGACAATTTACAATTTGGTGTGACAGGCCCTTGTTCTTATTTTTACTATCATAATCATCAACTTACCCTGGTTCCGCAACAGCGTCCGCAAAGTATATGCTGCTCATACATTTCTATCAGCCGTCATGTTTGAATCCAATTCCTGTTTCATACAATCCATCCATACTTTTAATAACTTTTTGATTTTTTCTACGGACAATAAAAAAAAGTCTTTTTTCAGAGAGCGGCCAGTAATCCCGAGTGAATACCGCACGTACTGTGATCAGAAGTACGGCAAGTGGCGTACAATGTTCCTCCCTGCTGACTACTCGCAGTGCAGATGCTGTGACGAGTGCATATTTTATAGAGGTTATATTCAATTATACTAGACCGATTTGTTGATGTGAAGAAGGTTACTAGATTACATCCAGGACAACTACTCTAAAAAATATAAAAACTGATTCAGTGTGAGGAACTGATTTCGTGAAAATTATGACGTGAGAATGATATGGGGAACATTTTAAATTTCGTTTTTAACCAGACCTAGTTAAGCTTGTTTTACCCTAAAAGCGGGCGCACAGCTTTGACTAAACTATCGCACAACTATTGTGAGATTGTCGATTGTTTCGCAGACAGTTTAACTGTGAAGTTGCACATTAATAACTACGTCGTAGTCTTAGACTCCAAAAATTAAACAAAAAAATGGGACCCACCCGCAAGCTTTACCTTTCGGATAAAAAAAGAATTATCCAAATCGGTCCACTAGCGGCGGAGTTATGCCGTAACACACATAAAAAAAAAAAAA